AGAAAGCTCCTTGTCTTGGAATTGAGCTGGGGGTAGTAGGCAGGTGCTCCAGATCAGGCCCCAAGTTGCAGCTGGAGCTACAGCTGCTGCCTGCGCCCCTGCCACCTCTGTATCCCCCACCACTCCAGAAGTCCTCCTACAGATAGTTTTAATTATTTTATTTATTTTCATTACCAGGTTTAGTTAAGCTAGATTTAGATGTCCAAATACGAACACTGACAGATGTGAGCATTTTGGGACCAAATTTTGCCTTCACAACCACGTCCACACGTGCATGGACGTTTGATTCCCTGGGGGCAAGTAGCAGCAGCACATCTTGGGCCACTGCAAGTTGTCCCTGGGAATGCCTGTGCCATGCACCCTCTGGCATGTGGCAGGTTACCCTGGGTGGTGTAGGGGAGGCTGGGGCCAACACTGGGCTGGCCCTAGCAGCCTTACCTGGGGGTCTGGGGGCTTCACAGGGCTGGAGCAGTGGCAATCCTGCTGTGCAGAGCCTGGCCAGCAGCCACAGCATAGCTGCAGCTGGCCAGAATCCCGTTTTGAGTGGCACATGCTGCCCCCATGTATACCTCTCCACTTTTTTCTATGGGTTTTTTTTGACCGGTGGATATCCAGGGGTCGCCCCCGCTGCTCCCTTGCAGTGTAGAGAACTGAACATACTGCACCCAGCCCACACCTTTATCAGGGAAAGCTGAAATTTCTGCAATTTTCCTGATATACTCCCATTTTGGTGCGTGTTGAGTAACATACATATGAACAGGAGATCAACGTTTAAACACTTTCCGTCTTAAAAACAAGGAGGCATGCACACATTATTATTTCAGGCTAGCATCAGTAACTGACTTTGTAACTGAATATGGAAAATCCATTGTTTCAACTCCTTTAAAATATTTTTATCTTTTGTTGAAGAGCATAGAAGTCTTTGCTATATTATAAAACTTTAGTAAAGGGAACAGTGGGTCCCAAAATTCAAGAGTTAAAATTCTGGTATGAATAAAATCTTCTCCAAGAGGCTGTAATTTTAGCTATTATGGGCTATACTATGACTATAATCACTCTCAGTAATCTGGAAAGAAAGTACCTAAATTTATTTATACTCTGCTTAAATTAAGCTGAAGTTCAGATAAGTTAGTTTGAGGAACTTAAGTATACCAAATACCGAAAAATTACATATTAGTTGGGACCATAAGTTATATTGAAATCTCTTACGCTCCTCCCCATTGAGTGGTTCCTCCAATAGAAGACTATTCATACATTCCCAGTCCTTCAGGAGGTCTGTTGCACAGTCCCACATGCTATCCACAAGATACGCAGCATGCTCATGTAACTGAAGAAAACACCCAAGAAAACAACACAATTATATTCAGTCAACAGGACAGTTATCTATGAAAGTGGCTATACAACAATAAGCCTCCCTTGCCGGTACAGAACACACACACACATTTTTAACTCTGTGACAGATGCATGCAGAGATACCGCTAAACAGAATATTAAATGCAGTACTTTTAAAAGAAAAGCTAGTATGGAAATGAATTTTTGTTTTGTGTTTGACTCCAAAGTTGCTAAAACACCAACAGGGGCCGTTTAGAAAGAGTTTAAAGCAGCAGAATGCAAACTGTGAGAGCAGTCTGTATTCAAACCTGTATGTGAACACACACTGACTACATCCCTAATTTTCCTGACTAAGTCTGTACCTGAAAGCGCACCATTAACCCCTTTTCACTTCCACGCGGCACTAACCACCTTCTAGAATAGACTAGATGTGCTTAATTCACTCTGTTGGGTTATTTTGTCATTTTTATTTTCTGTACTACGTTACGTTTTTGTAGGTGACTTTTGATTTTATTTTGTCATAATAAATCTTTTATACAATATTAGCATGGTCCCCAAAGAGCAACTTTTAATTCCTCCTGTTGTTGATGCTCTTATAGAAAGATAAATATTTCAGGTACTGTTTCAGACTTCAGACATGCTGTCTGCATGGTCAAGGTGGTTTGCTGTACTCTACAGATCATTCAAAAGATGTGTAACGCTATACAGAATGAGTATGTCATTTCCCAAAGAAACATGATGTAAATTAATATGGGCATGCTTCAAGAAAGAATGAATCTCTCAAGTGATACAGAAAAAATATAAATTCAACTTACTTCACTTTCCAGAAAGAAAAACACTAGTGTCTTGACAAGATTTGCATTTGGACCTTGTCTCCCCCTTCTTTTCAACATTCCATCATCTTCAGGATCTCTGCGACTGAAAAGCCTAAGAAAAAAAAAATGTTTTAAACCTATTTAATCCTTCATAACCATTGCCACAATCACTGTTGGACACAAATGTCTGGATATGAAATGTTTAATGTTTTGTTGTGTGGACCTACGTTATATTTAGAAGGGGAGGATTTCTCAAATCAGCTACTTTCAGATTTGTTCTACATTTACGTCATTTTGATTTCACTGGGTCCTTTAGACAGATCCTAGGGCAACCACATTTTAAGAGAAAAAGATAGATAAGTATATATTCTGCACACTTCATGAACAGGAATGAAGTCTTGCGTCCTTACTCATAAAACTGCCCTTTGCAGAACCCTCTGTAGAAGATAATAAGAAGCAATGAAGACAAAGATTGAAGTTCTGCTATTTACGTTTCTGAGATTGGCCTCCAATACAGCTTCTGAGTAAAATGTTTTGCAAAATGTATTTTTCCTGGAACAAGCACCTAGCCTCTATACAAACTAGTAACGAGGCTTTTGAAAAAGCATACCTTAAGTTCCAATTGGCAGCTCTGTAAATTTTAAAAATGGCTATTAAGTTTCTTTGTGGCATGGAATCCAAGTCATAGGGTTTGGTAAATGCTCCTCTTCAAGCATTTGACTACTGCAACTTTAAACATATGAGCTTGTTAAGGGCCAAAGTCAAATCCCCTTGCTTTACAGTATTACAAATTGGTGGACAGATATTGCATAGCCCCTTAAGTAGTTTTATTCAAAAAGGAGAAAAAAAATGGATGCCTACATAAGCAGGATAAAGCACAAGATGCAGCATGCACATATACCAAGACTACAGAGGGTCCTGCTACACATTCAAATTAAAAGTTGGACAGAAACCTGGTATAGAGTTGTTACACATTTTCAAGCACTAACTTTATAGCTGGTTGGCTCTTTTTATAGCTGGATTGTCATTTTTATCATCTGATAAATTACTTTGCATGTGTGGCTAATTTTATTGCCTAATGAACCAGTCAATTAGAATAATATACATAATGTAGCAAGGGCCAGAGAGAACTTTTAATCCAAATAAAATCGATGAGAGGTAAAGAAACAGATCCCTGGTACATCCAGAAAAAAATCTCTGCTTTCAGACATGATATAGTATTCCTTATATTTAATAAACAAAAATCAGGGTGTAATGTACCTATTGGTATGATTTAGTTGGGACAGCCATAGCACAGGTGTGAAATCTATGAGAAAGGCCCTGAAGAAATCCTACAAGAGTAGGCTTTGCACATATGCTACATTATAAAAATAAGACATTTTATAAAAAGTGTTTTTAAAATACTCTGAAATATTTCATATGGAGGTCTTTACAGCCTGAGGGCTCTAGTGTAGCAGGGTTCAGACAGCAGCTGTGACAGAGCTGGATTCCCGTGTTTAGTCAACATGTGTTGTTTTGTTTTTTTAAATGTAGATCTCATTACAAACTGTACTACTGATCATTGCCATTTTATGAACAATGCAGTAAATCTAACAATAATACTGTATTTTAAAACACACGCATCTTCCATCAATACTTCTTTACTAAAAAAAAATTATTTTCCCAATTAAAAAGCAAAACTATATTCTTGATATTAATAAATGCTGAATACTGCCCTTAAAGAAAGGTGATCAAAATAAAGTTAATCATATTTTACGCTTACTTTTTATAAAGAAATTCCCCTGCTGCTACTGCTACTGGCCGATGAGCTGAGTAAACTAGATGGTAGACATTTTCACAGTCTTCTGCCGTCAGAACTTCTTCACTACTCCTGGGAAGATAAAACAAAAACTTGTTAAGTCTAATAACAGAGCAGAAGAAAAAGGAGTCAAAGGAAACCTCAACTTCTTTAAGTTATTGCCCAATATCTGATACACTACAAAGGTTGAGATCCAGTATGAGCGCTTAAAAAAAAAAAGAAAAGAACCTTGTATTTCTAGCTCCAGTAGGAGGAAGATTGGGTTGATGCTCTGACTAGAAGAAACACTGTTAAATACAAAATTTGTTCAGGTACATGATGAAAAAAACAAACCTCTATCTTCTGCCTAAAATTAGCTAATATTAAACCATAATCTTTACTCATATGCATATTTTTAAGTTATAGCGGACATAAGAGATATGTACTTACTGTAAAACAAGAGTAAGTAATTTTATTGCTTGGACTGCAACATCATATTCTTTGTCCAGAGTCATAGACACAATTCTATCCTAGGAATAAAAAATAAACTAGTTTAAGTGTTGGGGTTGGGGAGGGAATTGTAGAAAGCTTAAATTTTCAGGTTGTTTTTTTTAAATACCAAAATATACTAACCTTGAATCGACTGGTAAAGAGTTCCAATTTGGAATTAAGCTCTTTATTATAGTAAAGCCCTTGCAAAGCAGTAAGACATTTGAGTCTTACTTCTCCTTGCTAAAATAAAATAAGATAAAATAAATCAATTTTAAAAGCCATGCACCTAAGTCTTCAAAGCATAAACAGTTCTCCCCTCTAAAATTCAACTTAGTCAAACAAAGTTCAGTTCTTAGGCCCTGAGTTACATTATGGAATATTATTATCTGATTGGCATCATTAGCATAGCTCTCAAGTAATATTAGTCAATGGTATGTTTTTGTGAGTGAGAGAGGTAGTTAGCCACATTAGTCTGAAGTCAGAAGGCACCTTTATAGACTAAGCAAATAAGACGTGTATGCATACATACACACACACACTTTCATGAACCCAAGTTCATTTCACAGATGCTGTGAAAGAACATGGAGAACACAGAGTTTGAGAGATGACATAATTCCTCTGCCTACACATTTGTTTTGCCCTTCCAGGGTGTATTTTAAACGCTCCAGAGATCCAGAGAAACAGGAAGCCCTAGAAATCCCACAGTATAAACAACATGAAACAATTAAGCTGAAGTGAAAACAGCTGAAGACAACAGAGCGCAGTGCGTACTCTATATACTTTGGGTGAAGAAAGGCATAACAATCAAAAATAGTTTCAAATGCTATTAAAATATTCCAAATGGGCCAGCTGTACACATGTACACGCTCTCTTGAAACACTCTAAAGGGGCTGAACCACTCCAGAAATAGCATCTCTTGAAATGAAGTGCTATTCTGGAATGTTTCACTTCGTGTTATGTCTGGATGGAAACAGGGACACCCCATAGGTCCTCCAAAATCCTACATGGCTCTGCTCTGCATCCCTCCCACAGGTGAGGAAGGGATGACAGCCTGGTACCTGTTCATCCACCAGGTGCCATTCCCAGAGCCCCTCTTCCCTCTCAGGTTACAGGTGCTCCAGCCTCAAATCACCTCTATTCTCCACTGGAGGATGATGGGACAGAAGAGATTCTGGCTGCTTGACACTGAGATCCCTGCAGTGGGTGCCCTGCACAGTAGCTTCATAACCCACAATGAGAATCTTATGGCTAGGCAGCACCTTCTGCAAGCTGCTGCTCTGACACCCCCTTCCCATCCAGATCTCCATGCCTGCACTGAACCTGGAACCTACACCTCTCCAGCCCCCAATTCCACAATGCCTCACTGCTCCTGGAGAGGAGGGGAGCAGAGGTTAGGACATGGAGAGATGGATATCCCAGCAGTAGGATGCCTCATCAGTTCCACAGGCTCTCCTGCCCCACAGCTGACACCTTCTCCAGACCCCCGATAGATCCAGCACCCCAACCCACCACACACCTGCTAGACTTCTGTGCCCTTACTGCTGCCGCCACCCCCAGCAAGACTCCTTTGCAGCCAGCCACAGGAGCTGGGATTCTGATCCCCCAATCCACCTACTTCTCTATCCAGGAAGCAGAGCAATCAGCTGCATATAGCCCATAACAAGTTTCAATAGTTCCAGCTGGGGCTGGGACAGTGGCTGCATGTGCATTTTCTGGCTGACCATTTTGTTTTGAAATGCTTCCAAATGTGTTTCAAAATCTGTCCATACCCCAAAAGACAAACTTCCCAGCTTCAATCATGCACGGTAAAATACAGTTTAATTACAGCCAATACCTCCTTTAGAAAGCCAACTTTTTGAGAAGTCAGCCCCTTTTACAGCTGTCAATCTAGACCATGGTATACAAAAATTGCCGTTCACTTTTGAAAATCTAGACAAACATACCGTAAAAAAGATGACCAATATGAACTATACTATTCATATAGAACAGGGTGACCTAAATATATTGCTGCTTGGCACTGGACCATAATAAAACCTTTGGTGCCAAATGCTTTATGGGATTAGTGTCTGATTATGATGACTTCAAGTTTCATTGGTCCCTCTGCTCAAAAACTAAATTCTATTTTGAGCCTAGTAATTTGAAAAGAGATGGACTGATTTCTCTCTCCAAAACTCAGGGCCGCAAACAGCATTGTTATAACATGAAGCTTACCTTATCATGCATAGTCCAACCCACATATTTTAAATAGCTGTCATTAAGAAAGGCATCACTGTACATTTTCATCCAAATTCCAATCTCTTCAATGCAGATAGCTCTTATTTCAGCTATTGCATCTCTGCAAGGGAGAAGCATCAAATTACATGATTAAAAGGACTTAAAACCAACCCTACAAAAAGTTCACAAAGTTACATATTACTTAACAGTAAACTTACCGGTATCTATGCACAAAAACACCTTTAAATATTGCATTCATCATGTTTTCTATCTCATCCTGATTTTCCTGAAGCTGAAAATAAGAATATAGTACATAGATGCTAAGTGATGTTATTAAACAAAATAATCCAAGTATTTTACCAGTTGTGAATATGGTTTCATTCATGAATCTTACAAGGAAGACTTAATTGCAGACCAAACAGATTCAAAATTATTTTGGTAGTTAAGCCTATTCTGCAGTATTTGTAAATACCACATTTTCAGTATCACAATTTAATATTTAACAGACGTCAAATACTGTAGCATGTCAATACCTATTACAGAGACCTTTAGGGAGGGGAAAAAGAGATTTTTCCTCCTCTTCTACACAAGCAATCTAGCCTTCAGTAAACCCATTTTGCCTAATCAATTTTGTCTGACAAGAACAACTAATTGCTTTGTATAATTAATACCAGTTTAAGCCTAATAATAGTAATCCACCTCTAACACACTTCATATGCTTTTATGGACAAGTATTATTAAAATAGTGCCCAAAGAATGCTAGCTGCTTTACAAAAAGGGGAAACCATTCCTACCCTGAGAAGATAATAGGCTAAAACATACAAGTGAATCATCTTACAAGAGATCAAGCAAACAGAGAGGTTCCAAAATCATGCTATGATTTCATTTCTGAATTTTACTGGTTTTATCACTTTGCCCATCACCCGGCTGGTCAGGATAGGGAAATCCGATGAGTCCAGTAAAAATACTGAGTTAGAAAAACCAACAACAACCCCTCCGCAGGAGTATAACACTTAGAAAAGATGAAGATGTAACATTCCAGATATGGACACACAAAAGTACCCAAAAACGTAGAGATTTAAGAAAAGGATCACAAGCTTAAATTCTGCATAGAAGATAAAGAAAAGTCAGCTAAGAGACTTGAAGGAAAACTGAATAATGACAGAGCAGCAAACAAGTTATTTTTCTGCTGCATGACATGTCTGTAAAGAAGTGGAATGGGTTAGCAGAGGTAATGAGGAAAGTCAGAGCCACACTGATGCAGCAGACAAAGTCTGTATGTGTTGTAAATGACATCACCCAGATACAGACTCAGAAATACCAGGGACCATTTCCCTCCAATGGTCCATCAAAAGAAACAAGACAGAGAACCTCTTATATAGCAATCCAAAAAGTTCCCTAGACAGGTGTGTTCTTAAATAACAAGGGAACAAATGAAAAAGAAAAGGTTAACTATGGTAACTAGAAAGGTAGAAAGGTTAGAAAAAGCAGGTGGCATACTTTGGGTACAGTTTTTGTAACACTAACCCACTGAAGCATATATAGTGTGTGGTGTGAAGTGGGGGGGGAGATTACATTCAAGAAGAAGAGCAAAACAATAGGAAAAAGAATTACAAGATGAAATAAATATAACAAAAGGATGAGATAAAAAAGGAAAATTACAGAGTATTTTGGCATACAGTATGATTAAATACAAACTGAAATCACACAAGCATTAAATGAAAACAGCCTTCAAACTAATACTTTCAACAACAAAAAAATGGATAAATTAAATCAAGCTAAGAAAACCTCACAGAGAAAGTTTAAAAACCAAATAAATATGGAGCAACAAAATAAGCTAGAGAAAGCCTTGATTCCTACACCATTTCCTCCTGTGTGCTGTTAGGCACTGATCCCGGAAACACATATGGTAATGCCACTGAATTCAGTGGGACTGCTCATATGTGTGACTGTTCAAAAGATGAGACCTTCAAGATGTACGCCTTTGAAAAACAGGTAATGTTTATTTTCATAATAAGTTAAATAAATAGTAGTAAGTAAAAAAGCAATCCAAAATGCTTGGCTTAATAAACTGGAGTGCTGTTTCTAAACAGGTGGGATGATTATTTTACAGAATTAACTGCTTTCCTTACGATATTAAAAAAAAACAGTTAATTAGGGATCATGAATAGTGTGCTAGGTTGACAGCAGTACCTTAGTGAAGTTCCCTATCTACAGAAAGGGAGAGAGATAGAGGTAGTTTTTAGGTTCCCAACTTTGCATCAGTTTTGACCCAAGATAGTCAATTTCTATGGAAAAGATTATACCAAAAACTTTTTTCTGAGATGGGTGTCCATGTTACAAAAGACATCTACTACACTGAGATAACATCTTCCTTATCTTAGAAAAATATAGCACTGAAAAGATGGTATGAAACTGACCTCAATTTGAACCTTTAATCAATATATGAAAAGTTGTGTATCCCAATCCCAAATAGTGCCCAAAATTACATTGTTCCTCGTTCACCTTATTAAGGCTGCAACAACTGAATTTTGACAAGTGACTGCACATATGGTCTATGTCTGCCTCCTCCTACAAAAGCTAAATATTCAGAAGTATGTTCTCAGCATTTAACAGAATTAAGTTGTTGGGCAGAGTTGATTATGTATGGTTTAAAGATAAAAGAAAGAAAGAATGAAAGGAAAAAAATTTCAACAAAGGGCTGCACTGGGGACCACAGCAATGAAGCATGCCACTGCTTACATGCTACTACCCAAAATAGATGCAATGTGCAATGCTGAGCAATTTTACTGGTGCATGCCCAGCACTCACTAACAGCAACATTACATCCATCACAGGGTGCAGTGTGGGGTGCACCCTACCACAGTCCTTTGACAAAAGGCATGCCCCAAATGACTGAAAACTCCCTTTCCAAAAACCAGTTCTTAGGACAAAAAATGGTATTTGTCATTTCATCAACATTTTCCCTCCAATGGTCCATAAAACACAGTAGCTAGAAATATTGACAATTGCTCTGACCTCTTTCCTTTTCTGTAGCAAGAGTTCCAGCCTATCATTTGCTCGTTTCCCAATTATTTTATTTCGCTCTGCTTCATACTGCCGTTGTGTATTGTCCATGTTAATACTAAGATTTAATGCCACATTCACTAAAGCAGTCATCAGCTTCATAGCTACAAAAAAAGTAAAAAAAAAAAATGAGGACTGATTAAAAAAAGTTATCTGATGTAAGAAAGATGCAAATAAATGAGTTATGATAAAAGTAAACCAACACCCTACTACCACTTACATATACATATGGAAAAAGAATGATTATTTTACTTAATTCTCCTTTAAACTTTAAGGCATCCTGCACACTTAAATTTAAATAAAAGCATGGTCACTACCACTGTAGCAAACAAGAGCTATTCAAACATCATCATTTATTAACCTTTATTAAGGTATATAATGAATTAAATGCCATAATGTTTACTATACTATTAGCTCTGATTTTCCTCATGCTTTGATGGTTATTATGTCATCTGAATTGCAACACATGTTTACTCAGAAAAGTTTTAATTCAGCTGGATGATCAAATGCCAAGATACATTGCCAAGGAAATATTAAAGTATTTCACTACTAAATTAGTTAACAAACTTCATAAAGCCACTTTAGAATTCTTCTCATCCCCTCGTTGAGAGCATTTTATTTAACTTTCTTGTCCTTTATTTACAAATCCAGGTTTCCCTCATTTTACACGGGTTCTGTATGTGCAAATTCACTCTTATGAGATGACCCTTTCTATACCAAAAATTCATTATATGCAAGGTAAATTCACTCTTATGTGATCAGTGTGGTGGAAGCCCGCAGTCAGCTGCTTGGTGCAGTGCATTGCGAGAATGACATGCACCAAAATATAGTTTTCTGTGTAGCTCTGTGCTCCTCGCTTGTTGTCCACGACACATGTTTCTGTAGCTGCCATCCCCATTATGATAGTGCCCTGTGGTTGTGTGTACTGTCTGCTGTTGGCGAGCACCAAAATTGTCTTGTAAAAGCGGTAGAAATGGGTCTGGGGGTCAGTACAGTCGAGGTCTTGGAATGTACCCTATTTGCTGCGTTGTAAAGTGAATTCGAGTTAAGCTCAATTTTCCAGGAACACGTATACAGCATAAAGCAAGGGAAACCCGTACACAGTAATAGTGTTTGCCAGTCCAAATGGTGGATCAGGGGTGGGCAATGTTTTTGGGCAGAGTGCCAAAAACGCATGCAACCTCAACGTTTAAGCTGTTGGCATGCCAGGGACAGACAGCAGGGAAGCTGCGAGGGGCCTGATCCTTGTTGTGGCAGTGCAGCCCCAGCCCTTTCCCCAAGGTACAAGTGTCAGTCAAAGTGTCTTCTCATGCCACACTGGTGCCAGTGCTGGGGGTAGCCTACCCCTGTGCTAGATAATTGATTAAAGTGCAAATTATAGCTGGAAAATGGTTTTCAGTAAGCCATTCTGATTCAGTGACTCTACATGGAGAAAGAAGTCATTAAAAACATACTTATCCCTTTTATATTTTTTGTAACAACAACAAATACTGAATCATATACAAGACTAGAGGGTTTTATGAACGAATACTTCAAAAAGGAGAATAAAAATGTTTGAGCAGGCATGACTGCAGGGTATAGAGGGGTTTAGCATAAAATGGTATGGATGAACTCTGAACATTGTCAAAATTAAAAGAAGTGCAGAAGTTCCAGCTCAAATGTTAGGACTCACCACATGCCAGCTAAATCCTAGCTACAAGCAAGTTCTGTTGACTGTTCCTGTTCCAGACAGGTTGCATATAATCAATGATACCAGGTTTTATTTTTTAATTGAAGAAATTGCTCAACAGACATCAATGCAGCTACTTTGGTGAGTAAGGGCTGATTGATTGGTGCCCTAATTAAAAGCAATTATTTTTTTCTGGACTGACATTAACCAGCAGTAGCACCACTCTTGCAACCTTTACTTAGGTTCAGCCCATTGTTATTTCAACTGGAATTTTGCTTAGGTAAGAGCTGCAAGATTTGCTTTTTAAGTAGCTACTTTTACATTAGTTATACAGTAGAATACCAACAGAACAACTGAAAATGATTGCCTTAGAGTAATAAGGCTTTGCTTCTCTGGTAATTATGATAAATGCCTTCACTGCGTCTCTGCAGGAGTCAGGCAACAAGAAGCATCTGCCAAGTTCTATTTCACTGACTACAGCTCTTGAATAACTAGAATTGATTGTGAAATTAGCTTCCTATGAGAGCCAGCAAGTTCTTTGTTAAAAAGTGCTCTCAGGAGTCCAACCTGCTCTCAAGAGTCCAGGATACATATGGCCCAAATTCACCTCATTCCCCAGATACAGTTTGAACAAGAAAGAAGCCACCACCAAATTGACTTCAAACCTCCTCATATTTGGTTGCTCCTACCTGCCCTGTTTTCAGGGAGCCTTTCCTACCCACCTGTACCTGGGTGTCCTAAGGAATCACTTGCACTGTGACAGTCATCCATAACTTAATATCCATTTCTCCAAAGTATAAGGCTATTTCAGACAAACATTACCTACCTATCTTATTCGTTTTCATGGACAGACAAGTTTAATTGAACTGTTTACAAAAAAACAGTAATGGAACAGGAAATCCTTAAAAAGGTTTATACTTTTCTCAGTGACTGATTCACTGTTAGAAAAGCTCTTTAAACTATTTTAAATGAAAATAGGGTATTCATAGATTGTAAAAAAAACAAACAAACCCCAAGACTGCAACTAACAGCACAGTAATTTTTACTACAAGTAATAACCCAGTCAATTAAAAATAGAAAAATGGAAGATGGATGCTAAGCTAAAAACATCTCTCAGAAGGAATGGTGCTGTTATCATGGGAGATAACAAATATACTTTAATATATAGTTCAATGATCTAGTAGGTTTCTCAATGAGAGAGAAAAACCACAAATCAAATGTGTTCCACAGCACAACTAGGGATTTTTGTGGACGCATGTGGACGCGTATTCCCCTTCTCCCCCACACATGAATACAGAACGAACTCTACTTATAGGAGTAACAGTACTATACCAAACTTAACTAATGTGACTACTTCTACCTGTTACAGAGTACTCCCCATTTTGCATCTCTACTCCTAGGTTCAATACAGTAACTTGTAACTGGTAGTATCATAACTGCTCTCTTAAATCACATATATCTATTAAATGCAAGTCTGCTACTATTTTATACTATTCACACTATGTTAGCATGTGTACTTCCTCACAAGATACTACATTTTCACTTATCTCAACAGCTTCTCAGTGGATTTGGGTAACCGAAGATTCACTTTAATATAAAAATTCAATTACTTGCTTTAATTGCTAATTAAAAGTGGGATCAAATCTAAAAGAAAAAAACAAAACAAAACAAAAAACTGAGCCAGAATATACAACTAAATATTGGGGGGGAAGGAAAAATTGTGTAAATCCAATTCAATAGATTATGAATTACCTGGAATCTAAATATTCACAACTTTTTTTGTTTGTTTTGTTTTTTTTAAATAGAACCGTCCCTTCCCAGGCAAGACTGGAAACAAAATTAATACAGAATAGGAATAAATAAAAGCATGCTGACCTGCCAGTGTGCTAGTGTGTCGAAATGCTCTGACTTGTGAATCTGATAGTCCTGTAAGTAGTGAAATCACTGTATCCATCATATATTCATCATATATGATACTATATTGACACTGCCGGACGAGTACTCCAATGAATTCACAAAAACTGGATTTGAACTTCTTCCACTGAGGACCAGCCATAGTAAGTGGATAATCTCCGCTATCCTATAAGCAGGAACAAAACAGGAACAGAAAAAAGGTTAAACTTCTTAAAGTCTTAGCCACCATATAATTAAATACAATATGAAAGCATATAATATATAGAGGTTGTTGACTGTAGCTATGTTGGTCTAAGGACACAGGCAGACAAGGTTCTTTGGGTAAATGGGATATCTTGTATTACACCAACTAAATAGTTGGAAAAATTGTTCTTTGCAAGCTTTCAGATACAAACACCCTTCTTCAGGCACAGGGACCTGTCTAACCCCCAGCTGGGGTCCCATGGAGAGCAGGGGAGGGGGTTTAATTCCTCCCCCCCTCAAAGTGCCAGCCTGGGCCAGCATCTGGCCATGTCCTCGTTCAAGGGGT